AAAAAAAAAAAAAAACTTGTAAAAAATATCCAATACTTCAAGATATTCAGAATTCAAGACTAACCAACACCTTGAAGAGTTTCAAATACATGTATCAAATTATATTTCAAGTGATTTGACATTTTTCACAAATTAGTATTGAAGTACTTCGAACTGGCAATGAAACTCGAATATCGATCACTATTCAACGAGGGAACACGAAAGAATAGATAGTTCCTAGAACGGACAATACAGAAATGTTCTCATTGTTTTACTACCAGATCTCGCGACGAACGACAAGTGAAACGGTTTTCGGGATCGGTTCGGCCGCTTTGTTCCCAGCACGTTTAAGTCGGCAAATTTCTCGGTCTATATTTCTCTACCCAGCCGCGGTATTATCTAATTTCGATGAATTATTAAAGGAGTTTGATAACAAACGTCTCGCCTGGCGAGTCGGACCGCGAGCATACATCTCTACCTCGGAATCTATTCTCAAGTTTGCTTATCTCTCGCATTCCCTCCGCTTTCCATCCTTTATCCCTTGCTTCTCCTTCTCCTTCTCTTCTTCTTCTCCCCTTACTCGTTCTATATTATTCGTTGCTACCTCGGTATCTCGGTCCATGTGCCGTTCCTTTCTCTATTTTGCGCGGCATAACGGTTTCTTCGAGCAGCTATCGTTCCAGACCCTCGAACAACTCTCTATAAAATTATCTGGTCGCCTAAGGGCTACCATCTGCTTCGCTGGGGGAGCACACCCCTAATTAGGTACAGCGACAGTTGTAAGCGCGCTAAATCTAATATCTAACGTGTGCCTCGTCGGAGCCTGCGCTCTACGTGGCAAAAATACCAACGATTTCCATACACATTTCCAGCACTTGTCCGTTCTTTTACGAAAGCATCTGTTGGCTCTCGTTTAATTCGAGGATAATCGCGCATCTCGCCAGGCATGGAGAAATATTTCGACGTTACGTCCGTTTTATGGGGAATAGGAATCGCATTTAGGGCTTACAATTAGAAACGTTTAGGGTTTATTCGATGATTTCACTGCGGACATTTTTATGAACATTCGCACTTGTGGAAGTACAGTCAAGAAAGTAAGGAACTATTTTATATACTTTTTTGTATTGCGTGCATGTGCAATTTTGCATTTAAAAATTTCTTATAAATTGAGAAAAACCTGCAACTTACTCTAGCTGATTCTACAAATACAATATGTACGATATAAAATAAGTATACAAATAATACGATACAGAGAACAATATTTATCAAACATAAAATATATAATCAATTTCTCTTCCTCCATGTAAATAGGTTAGTCGACAAATTATCAATCGTGAATTTTTAATTACATTTTCATATTCAATTTTTCAGTCATCGCAACTATCTACTTGCGTATGTTACTTGAAATATTCTTGCGCTGGTCTCCACTTTATTTCCCGCCTATATCCATTTTATTTTGATAATTGTAAAATACTTGTAGCGATAGAAATGCCAACACGAGAATGATTACCGATTAACGCTAGCAGTTAATGCGTC